TTTTACCATCTGAGGCCTGTTTGGTAACTATTTCATTTTCAGTTTTTAATTTATATTTACAAAAATTTAAAAAACTGTTATAAAAACTTATTTGATAATTTTTTTGGTTTATAAATTGTTGTATCAGTTTGTAAATTTGAGAAAAAAAACGCAAATTCAAAAAATGAGTTTAAGTTGGTTTTTAAACAGAAATTTAAAAATTTTACTAACAAAAAATTTTTTCAATTATTTTTTTTTTCAAATAATTTTTTTTCCAATTAATTTTATTTTTCAATGAATTTTTTTTCTAACTAATACTAACCGAGGGGTCAATTGGTAATCGTACTTTAAATCTTAGGGAGGGGATTGTAATTTCTAAAATGTGAGGGGTGTCAATGTAATTTACCCAGTGAGGGCAAAATTGGTATTTAAAAAAATTAAATTGCTGAGGGGGGAATTTGTAATGAAACTTTAAATCTCAAGGAGGGAGATGTAATTTTCAAAAGTTGTGGGAGGAACTGTAATAAATATAAACCTCAAGAGGTGTCAGTGTAATTTATCCTTATTTTTTTTGGGTCCAAAATTTTGAGATGGGTTATTGAATTTAGAATTAAAATTTAATGCTAAGAATTAGTGAAAAAGTAAAATAACAATTAAAAAAGCTAGGAAAAAAGTAGAAAAAAGCGAGTTCCAATTGAGCCCTAATAATAAATCTGAATTGAACAGAGGGAGGTTTCTGCTTTCTCAGGAAAATCAGAGAGAAACAAAAGAAGAAAAAGGAAGCAGAACCCACTTAAAAAGAATGAATTTCAATGAGCTTCTACTTTTGCTTTTGTCATTGGTGAGGTAAAAAGAAAAAAAGAAAATTTCTGAGGTGAAAGATTACTTGTTCTAATTCTGGTATGCAGTTAACTCAGCTTGGCTAGTTTGTGAAATTGTGTTGGTGTTTTGAGTGTTTGGGCTATCTTCAAAAAATGGGAACTTTTAAACACATTCCTTTTTTTTTTTTCTTTTTCTTCCCCATGTTCACTTCTTCTTTTTACTATAAAAACGTTTTCCGTTTATTTTTATTTATTGTTATTCCAAATAATAAATAAAAATTTAATTTGTAATTTTTGACATAATCGCCATCGAAATCATGATTTTAATTTTAAGTTGTAATTTTGTATTAAGTTAGCCAAACGTCAGTTTAGTAAATTTGCCAATATGACAAGTTGAAATCACATGTTAAATTTATGATTTTCTTTCAAAAATAAAAGTGGCATGTACAACTTACTATTTATTGATATAAATAAAATTTTTGGATCAAGTAGAATGGTTGAATAAAGTGATTTACGTAAAGTGAAATTACAAGATCAACCTTAATCAAGCCGCAATTTAGAATACTTATAATTTCACCATGTAATGAAATTGTAACTTGTAATTTTAACTTTGTCACCTTCACTCAAGTTGTCACGTTAACCTTCTATCAATCGGTATAAAATCACAATGATTTTAAATAGGGTAAATTACACTGACAGATTTTTATTTAATACAGATTCTCATTTTATGCTTGAAAAATTATGTTTTCCTCCTTAAGATTTGTAATCTCATTACAAATTGTCCATTAGATTGCTATTGTCATACCTTAAAAGTTTTAAATAACCAATTTGTCATTTTTCATACTATTTCTTCTTCCTATCATCATGATTATATTTTATAACTTTCTATCATTAAATTTTACTTGAACATATTCTTATTGAGTGATGATATACAAATATAAATTTTATATAAAATTTTCAAACACAATGGTATAGTTTAATTGTGACATTATATTTTAAAATAAAATACCCATAAACATAATTTATATTTACAACAACATTTCTATCACAACATTTTTATGATATTTTTTGTATAAATTTTTATATATGAATATAATTTTTTATTTTTATTTCCATCATCATTTTTTTTTTCTTGTCTATTCACTCACATTTATTACAATATTACCAAACACTGTCATTCATATTTATTACAGTATTACTGAATTTTTGTATTTTTATTATTATTTTGTATTTGGCAAATTTAAAAAAAAAATCACAAAATATTATACTTCTTAAATATATCTAAATTAGGTGTATCTAAAAAAAAAATTGCTTAAAATATTTTGGGCAAATTACATATACCTCCCTCGAGGTTTAGTTAAATTACAGATACCCTCCTGAGGTTTCGAAAATTACAGATACCCCCTTGAAGTTTATATTTTCATAACAAATTCCCCCTGAGGTTTATATTTTTATAACAATTTGCCCCCTAATTTGTTATGCAAATAGTACATTCAGGGGTATCTGTAATTTCTCAAACCTCAGGAGGGTATTTGTAATTTTTCTAAACCTCGAGGGGGTATATGTAATTTGCCCAAATATTTTTAAAAAGTCAATAAAAATAAAAAAATACAAAAAAATAAAAAAATAATTTTTTGTGTGAGTTAAACTAAAAAAGATGATTATTATTTCTCTTGAAATGAAATGAACAAAATATCAATATGATTTTATTATTTTATTATTTTATACGTATAAAGGCTAAAAGGTAGATATGTTATTTTAATCTAATCTGAGATAAATGTAATTTTTTAAATATAAGAGAAAAATTTGTATTAAATAAAAATTTTAAGAGTATCAGTGTAATTTACCCTATTAAATAAAATAGTGACAACAAATTGTGATTTTTAAATGGTTTGTATCTAGCTGCATTTGTTTTTTTTGTTTTTTGTTTTTGGGTTGGTTTGTGCCAATTTTATGGTTAATCCAAACATTGATTTAACAAAAAAAAAAAAAAAAATTGAAGTTAAGTCCAAATAGACTTAAAAAGGTGTGCACGTGGTGGAGTCAAGAGCCTCTCCTTGCAAGTCTGTGCTTGCGTCCGTCTTTGCAGGTCTTCGGATCTACTTTTAGACCCAATTTTGATAATCCGAACTGTTTATATTTTATGATTTATTCAGTATATCATACCTGTAAAAAATCAAGTTGATCGGATATCAGAAAGTATGTTTTTGAAAAATTGAACTAAACACTATTTTTTAAATAATTTAATAAACAGTTTTCCGAACATATATTTCTGATATCCGATCAACTTGATTTTTTACAGGTATGATATACTGAATAAATCATAAAATATGAACGGTTCGGATTATTAAAATTGGGCCTGAAAGTAGACCCGAAGGCCTGCAAAGACGGGCGCAAGCACGGAAGCTGCAAGGAGAGGATCCTCACTCCATGTGGTGCGGGTATTCAATTGAATTATGTTCCTCTTCGTTACTTTACTTTTTGAGTTGATCTCTCACCTATGGCGGTACTAAATACCGTCTAATTCGTTAAACTCGTATCGATTTGTATTAATTCATATTATTTTAATCGTTAATCGTAATTTAAATTTTAAAATTTATAATTCGTCAACTGAATCGTTTCGCTCCGCTATAGTTAATATATATATATTTTTTAACCTCCAATAAAATATCAATATAAAAATAAATATGAGAGATATTTAAAATATAAAATTTATTACAAATTAGTAATTATATATATAAAACATATTATGTAAAATTACTTTGTTTTATATATCTAAAAAATATTATACAAATTAGTATTATATATTATGTAAATGTATGATAATTAATTAGAATATTCTTCAATCCGTCAAAAACCGCTCAAACCGCAATTTGTCAATCCGCTAATCTGTCAACCCGTCATTCGGTTTGTAATTTTACTTTCAAACCGCCCGAACCGCACCGCGCACACCCCTACCCTCACCTTCTTTTTTTTGAAAAACCTTCTTTTTTTTGAAAAATATTTTAGAACTCTAAAGGAGTTTTAGGAGATGGGTCTCACTTAATAATGTGATGTTTTGGTCTTAAATTTTGTTTTTTTTAAAAAAGTTTTACCCTATTAGTGCTCAATTAATACTTTCAAATTAGAGGGATGAATTATTATTATTATTATTTTAAGTGCATCAGAAAATAATTGATCCCTTACATTCACATAGCTATTCAATCACATAGTGGGTACTCTCTCTCCCTCACACTAATGTGAAGCTAGGATGTTAATGAGTGGTTTAGAATGTTTTAAATAAGTGTATTTTTTTATTTTTTATGAAATATGGGTTGAGTATGGATTGGGTTTGAAAGTGATGTGTTAGAGAGGTGATATGATTTAAATAAGATGATGTGACTTAAATAGGATAGTTACTTTTTGACTTTTTTAAATCATGCAAAACAAGACCTAAATTTTTTATAAATGAATAAATGTTTCATATGAATATAGAGTCTATGATTTGTGAACCTTACATTTATATAAGACTTTTAATTATTTATTTGATAAAAAATTTGAAAAGTATAACACATAACATCTTCCATGTGGGTATTCCATGAGGGTGTTTGGGAAGTAACTTTTTTGTTTTGTTTTGTTTTGTTTTTGTTTTTGTTTTTGTTTTTTTGTTTTTTTTTTTTGACTAAAATAGCACTAAAAGATAAAATAAGTTGAAATAATCAATAAGACAAAATGTCACATTAAATTCATAATCATTTCACTTTTTTTCTCACAAATATCACATCCAATTACAAAAAAAATCCAACTATCTTTCCAAACATAAATGGTATGTTTAGTTTGGCTTTGTAGAGTGATTTTGGGAAATTTTTTCTAAAAAAGTTGTTTGGTTTATAATTTCTCTAAAACAATTTCCAAAATCATTTTTTCTCTCTTACACATCAATCAATTACTTTTTTTCTCTCATCTCTTCTTTTCAATCATTTTCTTTCTCACACACATTCACTTAACTACAACAAAATATCAAATCATTCCAAACTCCTAAACTCCAAAACTACTTTCAAAATACACAACTAAACAAATCAAAAAATTTCTAAACTTTCTAAAATTTATCCAAAATAATTTTTAAAAATTACTCTCTCAAAACATATCCAAAAATTTTAACCTTTTAAAATAATCAAAAATTAAAATAAACTACTAAAATTACAACTTCCCAAACACCCACTCTATTTCATGTGGATTCCTGTGTTACTTCACAAGTTCATGTAACCAATACAAACAAATCTTGGGTTTTGTTGGGGTTTACATGGAGAGTGGCTTTTGGGTTTTGTCCTTTGATCAACACAGTTTGATATTATGATGATGATGATGATATAACACACTTTGATCATGGGTTCATTTCTTTACTAGATTTTTCTTCGATTTCTATGAAATGATTCATTTGGGTTCCTCAGATTTCGTCTTTGCTGATGTTTGATTGTTCATCAAATTAAGAAATTTTCAACATTGTTCTCTCAATCTTCTCATATATTCCTTTTCACCTAAGCAATGAGCATAGATATAAAAGAGAGATGCTTGTTGTCTACCGTTTTGGTGGTTCCTTCAACTGATTCCAAGATGCTGTTTTCCGTTGCAGGTTTTTCTCAAACTCCAACGGTTAAATAATTTAAATTAATGTATAGATAGACATTACATATATTTATGTGATTTCTATATTAGGGTTTGGAACTTGAAGCTTTTAAGAGCTTTGGGAATTTTAGTGGTATCAATCTTTATGCTTTATATTATAATGAAAAAACAAAGAAACAGAGAGAACAGAGTAAGAGACAGAGAGAGATTAGGATAATATATATATAGTCAGATCAGATTTGTGGTTTGTGGGTGTCTCTGGTTTTGTAAATTATTTTAGGGTTCAATAGTCTGTTGGCAATGTCTCCTTTGCTGACTGGGTTCCCCCGGGGTCCGTGGGCTTTGCCACCGACCAAGGAAACAACTTCTTCATTGCCCTCTCTTCCCATTCAAGTGAAATCCTAGCTTTCTTTAAAAAATTGCACAACCCCATCTCTCTCTCTCTCTCTCAGATTGATTTTGCCTCGGTTTTTGTCATGATTCGGTCACATTGCCGCATATATGATAATACCTTTCCTATCTTTGAGATCCCATTTCCTTCCCTTGAAGTCCTGCAAATTGGTCATATTCAGAAATCTGGTCCCCACAGCTCCTGAGGTTTAATTTCCATTTTCGGGAGGTTTCGCCTCGATTGGGGTTATGTTTGATCATTGGGGATGTGTGGCAGTTAATCTAGTAGTGATCAGTTGAGTAGTGAGGAAGGGTTGTTTTGAGTGTGCTTGAGTAGGAGAAGCAAATCTTTTGATTGTCAAGATGAAGTTCATGAAGCTTGGATCGAAGCCGGATTCCTTCCAGAGTGATGGGGACAATGTCAGGTGAGATCTCCCATAACCCGATTATTTTGCCTATTTTCCTTAAAATTTTGATTTGTCATCTGTTATGGTGCATTTCAGTGTCTTTCTTTGACAGAATGTTTGGATTGGGTGATTTGGAGAGAAAAGATAAAGGAAATTAACTCTCTCCTCCCAAATCATCTGTTTGGGTAGTAGCTATGGTAGAGAATGGAGTGAAATGGGCGAAATAGAGAGAGAAAGAGAGAGAGAGAGAGAGAGAGAGAGAGTTGTATGTTAAAACCCACTTTTTGAATCATACAGAAGTGGAGAGATTTGGAGAGAAAGGAAAAAGAGTTAATAGTTAGCAGTTTTGTCCATGCTTTTTATGAGAAGTGAATTCCATTTTTTTCCAAACGGACTGTCGGTTTGTTTTCTGTTGGTTGGTATTTGTCTTAATTGATTTCCTTTTTTCTTAGTTCGGTTGTTTGATGGTTAACCTTGACCTTTTTGGGGCAGTTTGGAAATTTTCTTTTGTTTTCTTTTGTTTTTTGGAACTAGTTTTTGTTATTGTTGTTGTTGTTTTTGCACATTAACACATGGTTCAAGATAAAATACAGTCGAGGGCCTTTGTCAGCTTCTGCTGGTGGCTAGTAAACACTTGGTTGCAAAATGTTACAAAAAAGGTATTTTAGATTACACTTTGGCTAGACTTGTGATTTTTGTTTGTCGTTCACTTTTGGTTTCAGCCTGGCCTATGTTCTAAGCAAAAGATGATTAGCCACACTTTGCTTATTGACCTGCTGTCGTTTTCTCTTAACCTTTGTGGGGACAATTTTGAGAAATTACATGAATAAGAAAGTGCATAGATATATTTGTTATAATTTATTTCTAATCTATATCTGAGGAAGGGGAAACTGTTCCCCCCTACATTAATAAATAAATAAATAAAAAATCATACTATTAATATTCAAAGATTCATATTTTTTTCCATGATATGTTGAGGCATTTCCAATTGTTCGGTAGGTATTTTGATATTGTTTGACTTCGCTCTAATTTCTAGGTTGTGTATTTATTGAGGGAATAACGGTTGTTATGGAATGACTATTGTTTTGTTCCAAAGCATTTGACTTGAGGCATCCCGGATTTGTAACATTCCATAGTTTGAATGGCATATAAAATAAAATGCTATAACAGTCGAATGCACTCATTTTTATGTAGATGATCTCAAAATGCATATATGTCATGCTTTTAAACCAATTGTTATTTTAGTTACTAGCTGGCCTAAACCTCTGAGCTATCAGGATCCTGTAATTTTAACTAGACCTCCTTTTAAGGATTTGTAATACAGGGATGGATAACTTGTAAAATTTGGACAAGATGGACAGTATTATCACTTCAATTGCTTCAGTGGAATTTGATTCTTTGGCTAATTAGCTGTCATTAGCAAGCAGAGATGCTAGTGGTTGGGTCGGCTGCAAACATAAAGAAATTTTTTTTCAGACTCAACAATCACAAGGGTCGTTTTTTACAAATCTTTATCATATGATCATATCATTCTCGCTATTTTGTTGTTTGTTTTGGGGAAAAGGAGCAAGAGAATTCTTTTGGCATTTTAGAGTTGTTTGCTTTTCCACAGATTGGTTACTATCATCTGTTTGTTGCTCGATTGTAAGTTGTTATGTTGGCATCTTTGTAAGTGTACTCCGAATCATGCACCACTGGCTACATTCTTGCTAGGCTTTTTGAAGGTGCAATTACATGGTTACCTCTCGAGATTAGGACACAATTTGGTTTGGGTTTAATGAGCAAGATCACGAGCTAGCAACATCTTTGCTATATATCATTTTTACGAACTGTAGTCTATGATTTTTTCAAAGATGAATTGCTAGTTCTCGTATTTAAATTTGATTATCTCTAACTCTGATACTATGTTCTATTTGTAGCAGTTTGAATTTGTAATTGTTTGATAGATTATGTTAATATATAAATATAATTGTATATAATTACAATATAAGTTAGTAATATATTATAAATTATAATGCAGCATAGGATTCCCTTTCGGCCCTTTCGGTGGTGCGCCATCTTTCGGCCACTTTTTTCCTTATTATATTCAAAGGTATCATCATCATGTTTGTAACAAACTCCTATATTAATAAGGTATGATTACAGTATATCTATGAATCCGCTTTACATTTATTTTTTGGTCAATCCATTTTGAATTATTTCGATCAATTTGTTCTGTACATATTGCACTTAGTTTCCAACACATAATGCAAGCATAAAATTTTGGAAATATTAAAGATGATAGCTACCTATACTTGACTAATATTTTGTACTTGCGGCTAACAACATGGCATGACATGACTGTTTTGGAACAACATTTACCATTTCATCAAAGGTGTTGAAAGGATGTGACGGCCTGGTAAATGTTATTTAACGCTTTGTTTGTTTGGACAAAAAATGTTTTCTAAAATATATTTTATGGATTTTCTAGCGTCTAGTATAATGAAAAACGAAAGTAAACAGAAAACAAGCTTATTTGGGCAGAAAAAAGTGGAAAACGTTTTTCAGATTAAAGTCTTACCAACGCCAACACACTACCACAGTCACCATCACCGCTATCACCACCAACACCCAACTACAACCACCACGCCATAGTTGCAGCCACCACCACCACCTCTTCCACCCTCGCACCACCATCACCAATACAACCATTGCACATTAGTTTCAAGGACGTTACGTTTTCACAGAAAACATTTCTTAGAAAAAGTTTTCTGTAGAAAATGTTCTCTAATGTTTTTCGCTGAAACAAAGGGAGCATTATATATTAAGTTGTGCCAAGCTGAACCTAGTTGAGCTGAAGCCCCTAACATAAGAATGAGTGAAAGCTTGAGCAATTGTGGGAGAACTTGTCTCAGCTTAAAAGCATATTTATTTTTTCTATAACTATTGTAATTTGTATTCATCTCACTGATGGACTTAAGAATGATTTCCGCAGTTCCCTCTTTTGTCCAAAAGTGCCAGATTGCAAAAGTCGGTCACATCCACAGATGAGGGAAATGGTGATGAAGTTGACATTCATGATATTCCCGGTGGACCCGTTGCCTTTGAAATATGTGCCAAGTTCTGTTATAGCATGACTGTCACCCTGAATGCTTATAACGTCGTTGCAGCTCGTTGTGCAGCTGAATACCTGGGAATGCACGAGACAATCGAGAAGGGGAATCTCATCTACAAGGTCGATGTTTTCCTAAATTCTAGCCTTTTCCACAGCTGGAAGGACTCCATAACTGTTCTTCAGACTACCAAGTCTCTATTACCTTGGTCTGAGGAACTGAAGTTAGTATGTCACTGTGTCGATGCTATAGCTTCCAAGGCCACCGTTGATGTTTCCATGGTGGATTGGTCCTATACTTATAACCGGAAAAAGCTCCCGGAGGAAAACGGGAATGATCCTAACTGGAACAGTGTCAGAAACCGGATGGTCCCCAAGGATTGGTGGGTTGAGGATTTGTGTGAGCTCGAAGTGGATTTGTACAAGCAGGTTATAACTAACATAAAAAATAAAGGGATAATTTCAGGTGAAGTGTTAGGAGAAACTTTGAAAGCATACACATTGAGAAGGTTATCGGGATTTAGCAAGGGTATGATCCAGTGTGGTGATATGCTGAAAGCCCGATCAATAGTGGACGTGATCGTGTGCCTACTGCCTGCGGAGAAAGGCAGCGTTTCTTGTAGTTTCTTGCTTAAATTGTTAAAAGCGGCTAGTTTGGTGAATTCTGGGGAAACAGATAAAAGAGAACTCGTTAGGAGAATAGGACAGCAATTGGAGGCGGCTTATGTGAGTGATCTTCTGATACAAGCCCCAGAAGGCGAACCCATGATTTATGATGTCGAGATAGTACGCAAAATACTAGAGGAGTTTATGACACAAGATCAGAACGCTGAAATTCAATTAGCAGAAAGGCCGGGAATTTTGACAGAAGCTTCGAAACTTATGGTGGCAAAGCTGGTTGACGGATACCTTGTTGAAATTGCAAAGGATCCAAACCTGCCTTTATCAGCATTCGTTGATCTTGCTGAGATGGTGTCTGGTTTCTCTCGACCTGCTCATGATAGCCTTTATCGGGCCATCGACACATATCTCAAGGTAAGAGCTTTTCCTGAAGCTTTAATCTGTGCTCGCACATTATAAGTAAATATTGAGTTGATATTTGGATGGGTGTCTTTTGACATGGTTTATTAGTTTGAAAATTAGAGGCATGAGAAAATGCTAGTATGTGTTGTTTTGATATTAGGGCTTGTGTATGGTTGCAACTTGGTTGTTTACACATTATTCTTAAATTTGTTGGTGTTTTTGTTGTACAGGAACATCCCGGGATGAGCAAGAGCGAGAGGAAGAGGATATGCAAGCTGATGGACTGCAAGAAGCTCTCCGTAGATGCGTGTATGCACGCAGCACAAAACGAGAGATTGCCATTGCGCGTGGTTGTACAAGTCCTCTTTTTTGAGCAAGTCAGGGCTGCCGCATCATCAGGAAGCAGCACTCCTGACCTACCTAAAGGCATTAAGGATTTGAGCAGTGGGTCCCATGGGAGCTCAAGGTCTGCGACAACTAACACGGACGAAGATTGGGATGCAGTGGCCACAGCTGAGGAGCTCAAGGCCTTGAAAGCGGAGGTAGCTGCCCTGAGACTTGGCAATGAAAGAAATGGCGCAGACATTAGGATTAATACCGACAAGGCTGCTATTAGTAAAATGAAAGGTATGCTTATGTCAAAGAAGATATTTTCGAAAATCTGGTCAGGGAAGGCTGGGCAAGGGGATAATAGCGGCTCCGATTCATCAGAGAGTCGCGGTTCTGCCCAACCAGAAGAAGCTAAGTCGACGCCTGCGAGAAACTGGAGACATTCAGTATCTTAGTATGAAACAAGTTGAAGAACATGTATTCTTGGTGAACTTTTTTTGGGTTTTTTGTTTTTGTTTTTTGGCATTGACCTGACTTTTGGGAAGTGCAGTAGTACGAAGCAAATAGTTTGGTAGAACAGAAATGTTTGAATTGACTTTCCAGGGAAATGAAGTTTGAGGGAAAATGATTACTTGAGGAAACATTCAGATCACACTTTGTTGAATGTTATATTGTTGGTTACTACTGGGACAATGAAGTCTCATTCAAATAGAGAGGGCTTTCATTCACCAATAAAATAATTTATTTATGAAATGATATGGCTTACAAATAGCCTAATCTGTTTTTTTGCAACACTAAAACTAAGTACCCAAAAATTTTGCCCATAAATTTACTCAAAATGGTGGTGTGGTTGTGATTCTAAAATTGTATTGCGGAGTCTATGACTTGATGAATTTTAACTATGCAATAAGTTTTTGGATAAATTTTTGAGTTCAAGTCTGAAAGACGTAGCAAGAAAGAGAAGCTGTAAAAAATAAATAAATAAGTAAATGAGGGCAAAACATATTAAAGGGCTGAGTATTTTGATGTGATCGTGTGCTCATCTAATAACATGTGGTCACAATGTTAGTTTGTCTCTTTTTTTCTTTTCTTTTTTTGTCAAAAAAGGGTCACATATTGTCTACATAAACAATACTTACATGATTTGGTAAGATTACTTAGAATAGAACAATATAATTCTACCCAATAATAAATTACGGTAATACTCTCAGTAAAAATCGATTATGCTGTGAAGTATACAATATTAATTAGACTCCAAAATCTCAACTTGTTAATAGATAGACGCATAAGGACATAATAGAATGTTTGAGACATTAAATAACTTTTTTAAAACAAAAAATTATCAAGTGGATTGGGAATTCCTAACATCCTCAAACAAAAGGGTTATCAATTTGTGAATGAGATGGATAATCCATTCATCAACCATAGCAATCATTAGGGGGGGAATATGTTTTTTGGATAATCCACGTGACCAAGGACGTAGCTGAGGTGCTACGTGGACCGATCATGTCGTTAAGATTGTTTATGATATTGCCGAGATGTGATGCAATAATATCAGAGTCCGAAATAATCGGATATAAAACAAGAGTCCTAGATAATTTAAAAGCACTCTTTTTAGATAGATGAAACTCTTGAGGAAGTTCACCCTAATCTAAATGAGAAGAGTCTTGAATACGTGATAGCCTTGTAAAGGATACTGTTGGCTATAAAAGTAAGGCATCACTGTGAGTCTAAGGTATGCTTATTATTATGAGTGGCATACTTGATTTGATATCTCGTGAGATTATTAATTGACTTGATTGTCGGAGTGTCCCCGTGAAGGAGCCACTGTGGTATTTCTTGTCTTCTTGTATACAGGTGTTGGGCTTAATCTATTCTTCCGTTCCTTAAATCTCGACCGGCAAATCTAATTTGATTGTGAGGTCAAAAATCAGCACCTACAATTAACCAAAAAATTATTCCACAAAGAAAATTTAAAATAAAAATAAAAATAGTAGCAATAAAAAATGTATTGTTCAACACATACCTGAAAGATTCTTATTTTGACGGTTTTTAAATTATTTTTTTAAAAAAATTGAATTTCATATTTTTTTTTTTGTTGGGGGGGGTTGTTATTTCATTAATTAATACTTACGTAAGTATTAATTTAAACAAATTAATTTGTTAATAAATTAATTTGAGATGACAGAAGGGATGGCGAAAATTCATGCTGAAAGATTGTAATGGATCACATGACACACTCTCATGGTGTCTGGTTGACTTTTAGAATCTTCCTTCACTTTTAAGTTTGCACAATCTAGTAAACATATAATCAAATTCTCAGTCTTCGTCGCATTTAAATAATTACGAAGCATTTAGTTTTAGAGCGGTCTTAAAATATGAAGAGAGAGACGGAAAAAGAAGAGTGATGTTAGAGGGTGTAGGTGTGAGACATTTGGTAAAACTTTTGATAAATTTTTGGGACCTCTAAATTTTTGGAAAAGGAAAGGTAGTTCAGGTTTAAGTGCTAATTTTGATATGATATGAGCCATAATCACTTTGAGACAAGTCATAGTCCGAATGTTAATTGGATAGATAATTATAATGTTTAACTCCGAGATAATGGTTTCGATAATTGTTCAAGTGATTATAGCGAGAGGACACTTAAATATCAAGACAAGTGAATTTATGAAGAGATAATAGTTTATATGATAACCTAACTAATAACATAATAACAATTATCTGGTAAAAAAAAATTCGAAATCACATTAATTTATGTTAAATTTGAAAAAAAAAAAAAAAAAATTGGCTAAAATCTATTCCCGTTAAAAGGTCAGGAGTTCATATCTAAAACTCTTATATTCGGGATAAAATAAAACAATTCATGATTGTACCATATGAAAGTTACACTATAAAGTACTGGTGGTTGTGTTGTGTCATTAAATGGGCATATGTTGAATTAATGTGGTGTTAATTATGCCATAATACTGGTTATCAACATGGTGTCGGTTGACCACCGAGGATGGTGACCCAGTGGTGAAGGCATTATCTTCCCACAGCCATGAGTCAAGTTCGACTTCTAGGGACGCAAAAATCCTGAATTTTTTAGGGGCTCTTTCCTAAGACCTCGCGCTGTATTCCAATCGCACTTGTCCATGGCTGGTGCGGTTGATGAGCTCCACTGGTACCTTGGTGGTAGGTTCCTTCCTATGGGACCTCGCGCTGTACTCCGATCGCACTTGTCCATGACTGGAGCGGTTGATGAGCTCCACTGGTACCTTGGTGGTAGGTCCCTTCTTATGGGTTGGATTAAACCAGGCCGCTAACTGGCTATCCCGGGGCCTGGGCCTGCGGAGGTCGTGATGCCCCCACATAACCTCCTTTTTCTGTGTTCAAAAAAAAAAAAAAAAAAACATGGTGTCGGTTGTACCTTTGTGCTTCACTCTATGTGTAATTTGACATTTGAATAAGAACATGCATCCTACCTAAAAAAAATAATAATAATAAAATAAAATAAAATAAAATTTATTAAAAAATGTGTAACTTTTGTCATAAAAATATAATTTTTTTACTTTTCACAAAATGTATAACTTTCATAACCAAAATAAAAAATAACTTTTAAGTGCACATTATAATTTCATCATTCATAACTTTTATCACAAAAAAATTCAAAACTTTTATCACAAAAATCATAAGTTTTATTACAATATGCAAGTGCACATTGTAGCTTTTTCATTTCTTTACGTCCAGACACATGTTTCACAATTTCGGTTAACTTCAATGAATAGTGCACTTGTCTATCACGAGCTTATTTCTAAGAGCAAGGATCCTCTAGAGTGATTTTTTCCTAAAGTTTCCTAGAGTGCTACATTGTGTGGTTGAGATTTACTGACAGGTCACATCAATTTTTCTGATGTGACTTGCCAGTAAATCTCAACCACACAATATAGTACTCTAGGAAACTTTAGAGAAATTTCACTCTAGAGGATCCTTGGTGTATTTCTAAATGACATGGGACAAATGGTGAAATTTCTCATTATAATCATAATGCACATTATAAAAAATAAAAAATAAAAATTTTGTACAAATAAGTATAATAATATATTTATTAGGTGCAAATATTGTAATCTATAACTGCATATAAATTAAATCATAAAAAGTAAAATGAAATTTGCACTTTTAATTTTAAATTGTAACTATTAAATTAAATCATTTATTGAAGAGCCTTATTAGAGCAACTCTAATGCTACTCTTTACTTTTCAGTAGCTAAAGTATGAAATGGTATATTTTTTATTGGGCAAATTACAAACACTCCCCTCGAAGTTTGGTGAAAATACAGATTCTCTCTTGAGGTTTGAGAAATTACAAATTGCCCCCTAATGGTCAAATTTTCATAACAAATTAGGAAAAATTAGAGGGGAATCTGTATGAAAATAAAAACCTCATGAGACAATTTGTTATGAAAATATAAACCTTAGGGGGCGGGATGTAATTTCTTAAACCTCAAGGGGAAATTTGTATTTTCACCAAACCTCAAGGGGAGTGTTTGTAATTTGCCCTTTTTTTATTTTACCTAACTAATTTTTTTTTATCAATATGCTCCAATATTACTCTTTATTTTACATATTTATCCACGCAAATTAACTTAAAGAACCTCTTAACGCTCTTTAAATGTAACTAACTTGCAAGAATCTTAGTAAAATAACCATTGTGTTAGATAGTCCGTTGAAATAAATAAAATAATATAATAATTAATTATAATAATTAATAACTCTTTTTAAAAAAGTTACTTAGGCCTCGTTTGGAAACATGCTAATTTAGTAATTTTTTAGTTATTTGGCTAAAATATGAGCTTAAAAAAATAAGTATGTTTGGGAGGACTTTTTGGCTTTTTACGAAAATATGTGCAAAAAGTAGAGAGAAAAGAAAATCTTTGACTTTTTGGTATGGGCCGTCGGCTTTTTGATTTTTTTAGTAACTTTTTGACTTTTTGACTAAACGGACTGGTTCCCAAACGAAACCTTAGAGATGTTCTTACTGTGAAAATCATTGTTGGAAAGAAGGAATAACATAGGCCCATTTTGAAAACACAAGTTAAAGGAAAATACTATGGATTACAAATAAATTATTAAATTTTTTATCAGATCTCTTATATGGGTGTGAGATCTACACACATGTGATTTGTGTGGGTCTCACACTCATATGAAAGGTTTGATAAAAAATTTGGTAATTTATTTAGAGTCCCTAGCCTAACTCTAAGTTAAAAGTCAAAAAGTTAACTTTTAAGGGGGATTTGGTGATAGCCCCCTCACTATCTAATTTGTCTTTCAAAATGACAATAATTATATAAGTACTTTCAAAATCCTCTGATATTTTAAAACTTGTTTCTTTTACTATATTACCCTCATATCTATCAACTCTCCTATTAAGCCATCTTCACTATGTATTTCAGAGTAAAATTTTACTCTGTATAAAAGTAAAATTTTACTCTGGTTCTGTCAAATGAAAAAAAAGAGCAATAGAACCAGAGTAAAATTTTACTCTGGTTCTATCAAATGAAAAAAAAGAGCAATAGAACCAGAGTAAAATTTTACTCTGGTTCTATCAAATGAAAAAAAAGAGCAATAGAACCAGAGTAAAATTTTACTCTGGTTCTATCAAATGAAAAAAAAGAGCAATAGAACCAGAGTAAAATTTTACTCTGGTTCTATCAAATGAAAAAAAAGAGCAATAGAACCAGAGTAAAATTTTACTCTGGTTCTATCAAATGAAA